TATGGTCACTTCCTGTTCACTGGTTGCAAAAAAACAAGATGGCGACGGACAAAACGCTGAACAGGAGGCCTTACAGTGGTCGTTACTTCGTCCACTTACATTCGGTCTGTGGTTGGTGATGATTATCTGTTGATAGCGATGTGCTTTCCTACGCTGTGACAAGAAGCTGTGGATGAATTAAGTTGTTCAATTTTACTTATTTAGCAGCTGGCTAGTTAACTAGTTAGCTAGCGTGGTAATTCCTCTCTGATGTCATGCTCCAGAACATTAAAAGCATCACATGAACAGCTGAGCTACGTTACTTTAACATGGAGCCTGACTTCACTGGTTTTGAATTACAGTTTAGGATGGCCGTGTTTACCTTTTTATTTTCATTTCTTCTTGTGTTTAACGTCACATTGCTATGAATTGTGGGTAATTGCCTTGGGCAAAGTCTGTAGAAATGCAGACTTCCAGAAAGTGTTCGGAGAGAGACTCAAACACTCGAGGATCTGACAGCCCAACAGAACTAAACCCTCACGGACTCAGTGAGTGTGGAGATGGGACCGTACCTGTGGAGTACCGAGACGTTCTATCAGTGGAACCAGATGCAGCGCCGTGTATTTGGTCTCCAGGCGCTTCATCTTGGCGTCCAGACGTTCTCCCTCTGCACACAGTGAGGAGACAACACAGGATGAGTCTGCAGATAATTTATATTATTGTCAACAGTAGCGTCCTCCTCTGGGACCACGCACGAAATAACTACGTAATGATGCAGATTTGTAAAAAAAAGGCTAAGCTAACACTGTAGCAGCTCCATCAACACTCAACATAACGTCATCTCGGTGTAAATACGGCGTCTATTCATTGTTTGTACCGTCTGGTTTATACACACAGTCTGGTCTCCACTAACATGAGGCATCGTGGAGCTCTGGTGAACACAGACGGATACAGGATGTGTTTCCTGATTCAACAGCAGGACGTGACTGATGACAGGAGGAGCATCTCAACGCTGATAGGCTATCGCGCCGCAGCGCCACGGCATTTTTTTTGCTGAAGTTGAAAAAGTTCAACTCGCACGAATCGCGCCATCGCCGCCAGTTTGCGTCACTCCAGTCTCAGCGTGTCTGTTCATAGACTTTGTCTGTAATCTGCTCGCGCGAATAATTTGTGCTGCGTTTGGTGTGAACGCACCTTTAGAACGAGTCCTTCATATCTACATAGGGAGCTGAAGCAGAGTCCGCCATGTTTCTACAGAAGCCCAGAAAGGTCAAACCAAACACAGACTTTCACATTGTTGTGTCACCTGAAGGCCACCGTAGTTCTGTACACGCTTGTGAAGGGAGTGAGCGGTGAGATGTAATCTGTTACTTCACCACTAGATGTCACTAAATCCTAAACACTGCTCCTTTAAAGAATGCAACCATACATTTGTGAATGTTCTCCACCTCATGCCGTCGTCTTCCCCAGCTGACTATTTGAGCAGACTGCTGTTTAAGGTTAAGCATGAACTTTCACACTTGTTCTACTTTAAAGAAACTGTTCATCTCTTGATGGGTGAACTGTAAACTCAACGGGACGTTTGCACTTCTTTCACCTGTTCACTCCATCACTCTTCTCTAAACACGGTGGAAGCTTTGCAGAAAGCATCTGAACGTGTTACAGTATTAAATGATGCCGTCGACACAGCTGCTGTTTAAACTGCTCAGTCAGACGTGTCCACCGGAAGAACAAACTCGACGTTCTCACCTTTGATGTGGACTCTTGGAAGGATGTTCTGAAAAGGTGCAGCGTGAAGCAAGTCACAGACTTCTTCCTGTGACTGAGAGAAAGAACACAGCGACGCGTCAACGAGTGAACGAGTGAACACACGTTTACAATGAAGTGAAAGTCCTCCTGATGAACATCAGATCCATCCTGGTTCTTATCAGAAGACCATCAGGTGGAATTAAAGAGAGAAATGAGGACGTGAAGCAGGTCTGCGTTGATCAGAAGCGTACCAGACTCTGCTCGCTCAGCAGACAGAACAGCATGGCGTTGCCGACCTCCCTCAGGTTCTGGAAACACACCGTCTTCAGCTCAGCGTACTCAACGATGTCCTTCAGCTGGTGGTGGAAGAACTCCAGGATACCTGGAAACAAAGGACAAAGTCACGGCTGGGCCCGGTATTAGTGCAGGTAAACTCATTTATTCTACGTTAACGTTAGCTCAGCTGGTTCCTCTGATCATATATTCTATGTTCAGTCGATAGAAGACGATGTGTCGGCCACAACGTCCCCGCAGCGACACGATATTCAACTCAAAGTGATATTTGAAAACATTTTGTCTTGAATAAACATCGAGCTTCCTGTGAGCCGAGTTGGCCAGCTGTAACTGTTTTGTGCAGTTTCTTATTCCACCTTTAAAAGATGTAGAAGAGAATCATTTAAATCATTTAAGATTAAAGTTAATGTAATAAGGTGTAATAAAGTGTAAAGTACAGCATCTTCTGCCTGCTCTAATGACTCTGATCATTGATTGGTCGGTACCTGGGGAGCCGTACTCGTGGCGGGGCAGTCTGCAGATCTTGGGCATCACCTCCATCAGAGTCTTCACGTACTGCATGATGGTTCCCTGAAGCTGCAGCAGAGACGGAGAGCAATGAGCAGCAGCTTCACGGCTCATCAATAATAATAATAATAATATCAATGATAATTAAGATGAAAGCATGTAAACAAAAGATCCCTTTGTTCTGTTAACCCTCTGAACACAAAGCAGCTTTATGCTCCCGTTACATTTCTCTCTGTAACATCAAGTCCTTCATCTCTATAGAACCAGAACCATCAGGACTAGCAGCAGAACGAGAACTTGTCTTTAGTGCACAAATATTGGCAAACAATAGAATCGATATATTCAACATGTTTCCAAGTGCTCCTAATGTTAGACAATAATGTACGCTCTACGCGTTATATCTATCAAACTGTTCACGTATTTACAACCTCTCTCTCTCTCTCTCTCTCTCTCTCTCTCTCCCTCTCTCTCTCTCCCTCTCTCCTCTCTCTCTCTCTCTCTCTCTCTGTGTGTTCACTTCCTGTAGTTCAGTCAGAGTGTCTCCTCCTTGTAGTCACATGACTGTTGGTCTCACATGAATCAATCATGACGTCATAGTTTCTCACTTTAATGTTTTACACAATCTGGGTATTTGGAGTGAAATGTTAAATGAGACAATTTTAATCTTCGCTTCGTTGTGTTTTATGACGGAACCAATCGTCACACATGACGTGTTCAAGGACCGTCGTAAAGATGAAAGTCCGACGATAATGTCTGTCTTTACAGCTTCTGTCTGTGACAAACGGTGTCGTTTCAGCGATAGTTTGAAGAAGACGTGCTCTTTGAGGTTGGAACATGCCTTACTGTAATACTCACCAGGCTTTTGACCACCTTCAGCAGCTCCTCCATCACCACGGCGATGCCCTGGTAGCCCAGCAGCCGGCACATGACCTTGATGTGGGGGGGGCCCACGAAGTTCCTGTAGGTGCTGAAGATGCTGCTGTACGCCAGGTTCAAGGTCTGCAGGAGAGAGGAGAGACGGGGGGATGAACATTTCTCTTTGGTTCATTTCTCAGATTAGAAATGAACTTCTTAGAACTTCTTGTTCAACTTCAAGCTCTCTACAGATAAGATGCATTATTATCATTATTCATATTAGTAGTAGTCTTTCTCCCCCCCCCAACACATTTCATTACATGCATCTGTCACATCATCACTTTTTCATCACGTTTCTATCACACTTGTTTTCTCAACGTGTCCTGAATTGATGAATCTTTGAACCGGTTTCAATGACGTTTGACGTTTAAAATGCTTCTCTCATTAAAAACAACTTTGCTGCACATGAAAGCCAGTTCTTCCTAAACCACCAGCCGCCACCAGGAGGCGCTCCAGATGTGTTGGAGAGAGAAGAGGAGAGTAATAAACTGAGTTTACTGGGAACCAGCCTGTTGGAACATGTTCTCTGTAGGGCTGTGCCACATCAATCAATGTCAGCAAACATCCCAGAATGATTTAATGCATGAAGGTATCAAACACGCATGACTACTTTACAGTTAAATATTTAACCTTCATTCCAACATGAAAAAAAGCAGAAAATAACACTGATAAACACGTCAGGACATCTTATTATAGTCTCAGTATAATATAATAATGTATATATCATATAACGATATTCACTATAATATAATAATGTATATCATATAACGATATTCACTATAATATAATAATGTATATCATATAACAATATTCACTATAATATAATAATGTATATCATATAA